GTGATGACTGATATTTATATCATTTTATGTAAGTATCTGCTATACGCTTATAAATCTCATTGATTTGCATTACAAGCATCACAATTTCATCTTAATCACAATAATTGCACCAAATGGCATGTTTTTGCTCAATTTGGACCGTCTAATTAAAAGTGCGCTGTTTTTTTTGTTTGTTACTAAAATCAGTTTTCTTGCTGCTAGAAATGATCATTCTGCAGGGAAAAGTGTCAGAAACGCTCAATATGTCCGCTGTATGAATGGATTTTACCTTTCACTTTTTTTTTGATGGAGTCATTGCCTGCAGTTTTTACTCCAGACTGTGACTGGTGTATACAGTTTTGTTTCTTTTTACTGATTTTTAGAGGAGCTGCGTTTGTGATGTTTGGTTTTACCAGTGTTTGTGTGGTTTTAGCAGTGAGGCGATCGTAAACGCATCTTCTCTTCTGCAGGAGTTCAGGGCGTTTGAGCTGTTGCGCAGCGGACTGGACCGATCCAAATACCTGCTGGTGAAAGAGGCCAAGATCATCGCCATGACCTGCACACACGCCGCCCTCAAACGCCACGACCTGGTGGAGCTGGGCTTCAAGGTATCAGTGTCATAGAGGATGTCAGCACTTTCCCTTTTACTGCTATTATGAAATATGTGGAAGAAATATGTGTCCAAACCTTTGATGTAGTGCACATCACAACAAATGAGAATCAGTGTTTGTTTAAAATGGTCTGAATGAACTGATTCACTGAAATGAATCTTTTAGTCTACACTTAACATTAATGTTCGCTGCCTCAATATTCACATACTTGATCATTCTCTAGTATGATAATATCCTGATGGAGGAGGCAGCTCAGATCCTGGAGATTGAGACCTTCATCCCACTACTGCTACAGGTACAACCCTCTTTCTCCTAAAAGCATGTTTGGATGTTATTTGTTGTTGCGTTGCGTTGCATTACGGCGCACGTTGCACGTTAGGTTACGTGTTAGGTTACGTGTTGTATTATGACATTATTTTAAATTGTGCATTGTTAAATGTAAAAATGTAATATATTTTTCAGGGGAAACTTTATTTTAGTCAAACAGCCATTATTGCCAATTAAATACAAGCTAATACATAATAAAAATCTAGTTAAACATTAATCAAGACATGTTTTCTACACTGAAACCTTGCAAAAACATTTTTAAATTTGATAAGTAGAATTAAAACAGTTTTATTATAATCTAAAATATATTATATATAAATTATAATTTTATATAATTATTAAAGAATGAAGATGTTATTATTATGTATAGATGTCAGCTTTAATACACTTATTACAAAAAGTGTTCAAGATGTATCGCTTACAATCGGTGGAAATCACGATTAGGTCTTCAGAATCATTCTTGCATGTGAAAATGGGCCTGAAAATTGAACACACATGAAGACGGCAATCTTGTCCTTGTGGCAGTTTTTCTGGTATTAAAAGGGACGTGTTCTCCGGATGCAGGACATCACATTACAAATGGATGTCGAAAGCAAAAATGCTACAAAATGCACATCACATGTAGTGAGAAAGTGTGACGTACTTGAACCAGAATGATCAAGAATCAAGTATTGGATTTCATTCAGCAAATGTGATACATGCCGTTGTTTTCACTCATCAAAATGGAGTTGTAACATAACCTTACTGACTCAAATAAACGTTTCTGTCTCTGTGTTATGCAGAATCCAGAGGACGGCTACAGTCGACTCAAACGCTGGATTATGATTGGTGATCATCATCAGTTGCCTCCTGTCATTAAGAACATGGCCTTTCAGAAATATTCAAACATGGAGCAGTCACTTTTTACTCGCTTTGTGCGTCTGGGTGTCCCTACTGTAGACTTGGACGCCCAGGGCAGAGCACGGGCCAGGTCAGTGGAAAGATGCTTTTAATACGTGCCCATGTGATGTCATTATTGGTTTGTTTAGTGTGAAAGCTGCCTCAAAAGAATCATATAGGCTTGCTTGCATTAGATGAGTTTGTTTCTTCATCAGATTTGGAGAAATGTGTCATTGCATCACTTGCTCAGCAATGGATACCCTGCAGTGAATGGGTGCCGTCAGAATGAGAGGCCAAACAGCTGATAAAAACAGCACAATAAAAAAAAATATATAATAATAATAATGCCAAAAGTACCTAACAAAATTACTAAAACACAACCTAAATTAAAAAGAACACTAGTGTAAGTATAAAAATAAAAGCTCATTCGAAATATTACATGCTGTAATAGTATATAAACATTCTAATAATCAGAAAAAAAATACACACATTTTGTGTAAAATAAGATGCGATGCTTTAAAAAGCGGTTTAGTTAGATGGCTCTCTAGGTTTCAGAGCAGAGCTGTTCTGTCCTCAGATACATTTTTTGATGTGACGTGTCCTATTTTGACTCTCTCTCTCGTGTGTGTGTGTGTGTGTGTGTGTGGCAGTCTGTGTAACCTGTAT